CAAGAGGGTACAATTAATATGAAATACGTAGAATTTTAGCAAATAAAATAATACGGAAAATGACCGTCACAGTCACCTAAGAGCCCTTTTTATTTGCAGGGTATCGAAAATGTGCCAACTGTAAGTAACCTTGTGTCGGAACCCCTTTGAGACTCAATCATCATCATCATCATCATCATCAACATCATCAACATCAGCAAGAATAGCAGCAGCTAGCAATGTTCGTACGAACATACATAATTCCCCTCATTCCAAGTGTCCTGTGGCTTTTGTGGTTGATGTCACTACAGGCCTGTGTCCCACTACACATACATCAATATATACATGATATGTGAGTGTGTGTGTGTGTGCGTGTGCTGCTGCAGTCAAGAGTAAAAAGCAACAACAAATCAAGCGTTGCCTCACTTGCCTTGCGTATACTTGTGTGTAGTCTGTAAGGACATTGAGCGCTTAATTAAATTAAGGCAGCTTGATGGACAGCTACTAGACAACGAGACGAGACGAGGCCTGACAGTCCCAGCCACTGCCCCTGCATCTACCTCTGCCTCTGGCCCTGCTACTGCTGCTGCCACCTACCAATCATTCAGGTGTTGCTAAAGGGATGTTCTAGCCTTGCCCATATACATGTGCATGTGTGGGTCTGGCTGTATGTGCCTTTCTGTCTGTGTGCGTGAGTCTATAGTGTGTGTGCTGTCACTCAACTGTCGTTGAGCATTCCGTTGCTTTTCTGGAGAAAAACCCAAAATTATTTATTTGATCAAACTCTACAATGTCACAGTTGCCAAGAGGCTTGATCTTTCGTATCTATATATTTAATACAATTTATAAATAGATTAAGACAGCAATAAAATATTCGAGTAGAAGTACGTGCTTAAGCTGGGACTACAAATACTTGTTAGCATTTTTAGGATTGACATAATAAACTTGATCTGGGTATCATCAAGAACTTAACAAAATAAAACTCTACTGCTTTTCCCAAATATAATAAGAAATCACAGCCAAATAAGTGCACCTCTGACATCCCTATTTTAAAAATACCATAAACAGGCGTAATCTTGTTAGTTCTGACTGTATTTTACTTAATTTATTTCTACTAATTTTTGAACAACAAAAATAAGTTCGAGTTAAAATCTAATATTATTTATGCTTTAATATTCTGACAATATTAACTAAACCTAATACTATATTGTAGAAATTGAATTTATGCAAAAAAAAAATATTTTTCAAGAATATTACAAGGAACATGCAACTGTTTATTTGTACAAAAAGAAAATAAATATAAAAAAAGTCCTAGGTAACATAAACACAAGCCTTTCAAATTGAGCACTGACTGAGAATAAATCGAATAAACAGCATCAAATACTTTTCCTGCTTAGGTAAATCGAGTTAAATTTGATTCTTGCAACCGCCCCAAAAGGCCGAAAGGCTTTTAAATTTAAAGCATGTCCGTTTTATTCGCACACGCACACATTTGCAGAGTGAAGCACACACACACACACACACACACACACACACACACACGAACATACACACACACATACAGATGCAGACATATGCTCATAGGAAACATTAACGATAATGACAAAAACAACAACGAAACGACACTTGTTCGCAAGGACACACGAGAAATCCATAAATTTAAAGCATGCTTTTGTGCGCCAGAGCGCAAAGAAGAGGGAAAACAAAACCAACCAAATACGAAACGGAAACAGAAACAGAAACAGAAACAGACAACTTTAAATCAGCTGTAGCCTGTTGAGCGAGCGCGGCAAATTTAAAGAATTCGTAAAAGACAGAAGCTAATATTTGCACCTGAATTCACAGTTAACTGCAGTTGACATACAGCAATAATTACAGTAATATAGCTACGATAGTCGCACCCAATTCTTTCATAATTCCTCGAGCGGGTTTTCCAATCGTTTTCTGTGGCGTTGCGCCTTAAGGATTACACTTTTTCCTTTTGCAATTTGTTTATTTTTATTATTTATTGTCAGTTCGTTAGCCTGTCGTCGCAGTCGCTGCCGTCGACTTCACTATGAACCGCACGCTTTGCGTTCGAATCAGACACTGAAACTGAGACTGAGACTGAGACCTGAGGCAGAGCTGAGACCAGACTGATTGAGCACGCGACCCAACGGCTCGTTTTCAGCGTTAGCAAAACGCGCTCTCTGCCGGCAAATACAGATTTGCACACTTGCTGTTGTTCCTATTGAGTACGCGCCAAAAACGTGCCAGCCGAGTGGTGAGAGAGCAGCAGCACAGAGGCGTCGCTAGCGGGGGTCATTTAACGATTGCTTATCGGAAATGCAGTGCCAGGTGCCACCTGTAGACTATACTATTTGAGCAAAAGCTTTTGACAGAGAGCTAAACCTTCCTACACAGTCTCTCCCTCTCTATTGCTCCCTCTATCTCTCTCCCTCTCTCTCTCTCCCTCTCTCTCTCTCTCTCTCTCTCTCTCTCTCTAAAAGCTTCGAGTTAAACTTCTGTACCGCCAAGAGAAGAATCACACATTAAATAAATTTCACTTTGAAGTGCATTTGGCCTGCGTTTGACATAAAACCTATATTATAACTATCATATAATATTTTACCTGTCAAATACATATATTTTGCTAGACCTTTTTCTCAAGAGAGTCTCGTTGGTAACCGCATTCCTATAAACCAACCTATCTGACCAAGTTCTGTTGTTTTTTTGTTTCTAGATTTTCTACTTGTTATCAGTTCATTGAATGACGTCCAACAACAAAAGCTTATCGATAATTAGCGAAAACAAAACCTAATGTCACAGCACAGCTAAAAAAAAAAGCGCAAAAGTCACACCACACTGCACTTATTCGATGTTGCTTATATAGATACGATATAAAGTTCCAGTTCCTAAATAATTATTGTCCGAACAGAACTCACTTCATTCACTGTTGCAACCGCACTCAACGCCGTTAAAATTCAAACTGAGAAGCATCGTCGACTCAGGCGGCTTTTAAGCGATTTCCGAACCGAACGAACCAAAAGCAAACAAACGAACAGTAAAAAAAAATTTGCGACTTAAAGGAAGACAAAGCCAAGAACAACTAACACTCCTCCCTTGTCGACACATCTATCTATCATCATTTAGGGAGCGTGGGGGTTATCGAACTGATGTATTAGAAAACAATGAAGCATTTCATCAGACCAAGAAAATATTGCGTGCCCTAGTAGAAACTGTAGCTTAGTTTAAGAGTCATTAAAACCCGAATCGATTGATTGACTTGAACTTAATTTAAGTGTTTTCGTACTTGAAATAGGAACTTCGTAGAGTAATTTCCTGTATGAAATTCTAAATATATTTGTATTTGTATGCATCAAAATATACATCATGGAAAATATTGTTATTTGTTGTGCTCGCTGGGGGCAGGAATTTAAATATTGCCCACACATAAATCTAAGGGTCAAGGGGCCAAGTTGTGCGTTAATTAAAATATGTTCTTTAATTTACGCTGTACATTTTCAAACCTATTTGAATATCTGCTTCTGTTTTGTGTTGACAGACAATAAAATTTGGAATATTCCATTTGACTTTATTAGTTCTTATGCACCTGGTAATTCACATCTACTTGACCTTTGCATAACTTCTAGATTATTTTCGGCTGTCACGAGATATTCGTTGACTTTTAATGTACACTTTGCATGGCTTCAATGAAGTTTTCACACCACATTATGCCACTAATTAATTGGTTTCTGATGATCTAATAACAATATTGTAGCATTAATAATGGTTCCATTGGCTGAGTTTCTACTCGCAATAAAAAGTTTCAATTGTTTAAACTAATGCAAGCACATAGGAGAATCTTAAAGTAGTCACATTAAAACCTGCCAATCGAACACACTCCTGTTCTTTTTTATTTTTGAATTCCGGGTCTTATAAATAATGCAAATTAAAGAGAATCAATTTGAATTGATCAAAATAAAAAGTATTTTTATATAGCTCGAGCTTTTTAAGGGCGAATGGAACCCGCAGAGTCGAAAGCGTATTTACAAGTGTCTATCATTGTTGCTAATTATTCGCCTAATTCAATTAGCATGCGGAGAATATACGATTCAAAAGTATTATTATTCGAACAAATTTTATGTAATCATTTTTGATGCACATCAAACTATTGCCTCGTTACCGTTTCCTTTGCTTTATGGAGCCAATTGTTTATGCCAAAATTGGCGGTCATTATAAACCAGTCGAGACCCAAATACTAATGAATATTCTCTAAAACAGGCAAATAATATGTAGATTATTCCAATTGTATGCTCAGATTTTGTTTTGTTTAAACAATTGCTACTCTATGCCAGTCACGTTGGCCATTCTGGAATGCACGAATTTAATATATGTATGTATACATACACATACATATGCACATGCATGTGTGCATGTGTAAACTCTGGCCAAGCCTTTAGCAAACGTTAACGTAAACATTATTTTATTTATTTAGTTTGAACCATTGTTTGCACTGGACATGCCTTGGCTATCAGGAATTTTGTAGCACATGGCAAATATTTATAGAAGCGTGGAAATGGGCTCAAATAATAGCGCGATTTGACTGACGTATGTAGCTGTAATTGCAAATTGTACAACTTACTTACCACATGTTATTTGTTGTTATTAATTTACCTTTTCTTGCAAACAATTTTTAATATTCAGCAGACAAAAAATAAAAGACAGCGCAGGAACAGAAGCAGAATGCAAATGAAATGAAAACAAACACACACAACTGACAGATGGATGCTCCCCAGCGAGCGCGAGAGGCACACACACGCTCGACGCGCTGAATGTCACAGAGGCAGCGAGAGAGAGAGAGAGAGAGCGGGAGAGAAAGAAAGAGAGATAGATATTTACAGAGTTTGGATATGCGAGCGTTTTTGGTTACCAAAACTCAGTCACATTCAGCGCGAGCGCCAGATCGTATCAGAAGCGGCTCTCTCGCTCTCTCGCTCTCTCTCTCTCTGCGGCCAGTTTTGACAGTTGATGCTGGCACGTTGGAATAGCAAGATAAAAGTAAATCTGCGGAGAGACATCAAAACAGAGGAAACGCAAAAATCAACTGAAAAACAAATGTAATTTGATAATAATGGATACACAACAGCAAGAAAACCAAACGAATTACAAAATCAAATGTGACAGCGATAAGTGTCGGAAAATTAAGAGATTCGTAATTATCGCATTACTTATCACCATTGGCATTCTGAGCTGGCATTTCTACGGTGCGTATCCAGACACACACCCATTCCAATGATACTACCATACCAATATAACCTTCTATTTGTAGAATATTTCCATAGTAAGCCGTTGCCCAAAACGCCAGATGATGTGCTGACCTTGTCCCAAGCACTTTTTGTCGAAGAAACAGCAGCCAGTCCGTATCTATACAATGTAAATCTCCAGGTCAAGACGAGAGCTGGCGCACATGATGATCGGGCACCCCACCCGTAGGTATATGAATATGTGCTATATGGATCTAAAAGCTATGTACTCTTGTTAGTCTCTTTGAACTGCATTCCGATTTGCTAACTAGGGATTCCAACTCCACAACAGCTCTGTTGATGCGGCTCTTCAACAACTACGAACTGGATGTTGCGGTGCCGGATCAGGTTACGGCCGAACATGAGCAGGAGCAGCTGGATTTTCTGCGAGCCGTCATGAGCACACGCGTCATGAAAATCTCTATGCGTTTTCTGGTGAAAAGAGGTAAGCTGCAAGTATTGATTGCCACTGGAAAACTTGTAACAACATTCAGTTTGTCCGTTTATCAATTCAAAATATCAAACCCTGTTCAAAGAAAGTGGGTAAAAAATCAACTCTAGGCATATTCGTCTCTATGAACAGTATATATTCTCGATCTTAGCTGGAAGCCATATTTATGCTTGTATGAACACCTGTCTGTTGTTCAGCATCTTTTGACTGAAATTGGTATTTGCGAGTTTTACCACGCTCCTGACATATGATCCGAATCTTATCAACATACACCTTCTATATCATAGAACCCTCATATGAACAATGGGCCAAAAAAAATTGTTGTATACAAAATATTGCTGTTGCTATAAAAGCAATATGTTAACAAGGGTTGTTATTGTATTCTATTAAAATAATATCTGTCTGTCTTTTGTCAATATAAAATATGATTTTATTCACATGCTGTCTACTTACTCAAAGGCATTGTCAGCAGCGACTATGAAGAACAGCTTAAGTTACTGCAGGAGCTGTGGTTTACTCCGTACTCCAGAGGAAAAGGTATTGTGGGCAGCTCCAGCTTCGAGCACGTCTTCATGGCAGAACTTCGGGATCAAAAGGTGCTTGGCATGCACAATTGGCTATACTTCGCCGAGCAGGAGCAGCAGGGTCACGTAAACTACAAGGGCTGGTTGAATCGATTTGACACGGGAAGGGTGTGTATCATTAGCAATTTAAAAATATTTATTGTTTTTCATAGTTATCAATAATTTAATTTATTTGTAGCATAATCAATTTGCGTTGGCTTTTCGCATGAGCTTCTTTGGAATAGAAAAGTCCTTCAATGGCTTTCTTGTGGGCACTTCGCCAGAGCTGGAAATGAGTCTGTATACAGTATGCTTTTTAGCCACAGCAGAGAAGGAACCTTGCGAAATACAGCTGGGCACGGCCAAGTTGTCCATTGTGTCGCATGTCTGGGACTGGAAGGGCAAGCGACTGATAGCTTCAACATATGTTGAGTTTCCATAAGTGCAACTGAGTCTTGGGATATACATACCACAAATTCTAGTATTCTATAGTCAAGTAAACTTCATTTAGCGCAGGGAACTCTAATTATTAATATTTAAATCAGGATATGCATACTTTAAAGTGTGTATCAATTTGTAATAATTGTGCATTTTGTAGCAGCAATCGTTCATAATATTCCGCGTGAAAAACTTGCACGTTTTGTACTTATTATATTGTATTTTCTCATTGGAAGATGGATAGATTCGGTATAACTGTACTTAAAGTAAAATCCTGTTAATGTGTAAATATGAAGGTCTTTTTCGGACAGGTAATTGGCGACTGGTGACGCCTAAAGTGCGTGCCAACGTCAATTTCTGCGCCTGTCAGTCATGGGCTTCCTGCTAGCCAAACAGCTCAGTTTAATTGTTTTGACAGCTTCGTATGGTATTAAGACGTTCCCTGTTATATCTACCCAGTTGTTTATTAGTTTTAACGTTTATGTTTATTGACTGTGTGCAGAAATATCTGCTCACCTTAAATGGCACTTTTGACATTGAAGCAAAGTGCTTTATAGACGCGAAAAGGTTATCAGAATCGAACAAAAGTAATTTGCAGGCTTTAATATTAAATTGTTAAGAATTATTAATATCGCTTTCATTGGCACGCACTTTTCATTATGAAGGAATATAAATTTGAACCTATTTATTACTTATTCAATTTTTGTCACGCATTACAAAATCTATGGATCGTAGTCCATTTTTGGTTGAATCCAACAAATAAATAAGTAATTCATATAAATATATAATCCTCAGATGCTTTTTAAATGCTTCGTTAAAAAGCGAAATAAATTTTAAAAATTACAAACTAAATTCGCACGTACGTGGGATGGGAGTTTGCCAATTAAAAGCCACACCATTGATTAGTTAAAGTAATTTGTATTGCATTTAAAATGGTTGTAATTACAAAATGTTAATATCAAATGTTGGTTATATTTGTAAAAGTCAATCATATGAGTAGCATAATATAATGAGAAGGTTGGACTAGCAACTGGAAAACGTGTGCTTACAACTAGAATGCACGATAGTCACGCTCAATAATCGACGTTTCGGTTGGCAATTTCACCTATACTCCGCTCCGGCTGCCCCTCAATGATTACAGTCTCGTTGAGATTCTGTGCCTGTTGCACCTCCGCCGGTGCACTTGCTCGGCGTACAGTGACAATGGTGGTGTGTGCTGGTGATAGGCTGGCATCGGAGTCCGCTGCCTGCAGGACGAAGGTTTCACTCAAATCGGCACAAGAGTCGTCGTCATCTAGATTGGAGGCATCGCTGGAGCGCATCAGACTGGGACTGCTAATGCCGAACTCCAGCTGCAGCGGATCGATTGGCGTGCGATCGTTCGACTCGGGACTCCAGCTACTTCTTGCCGGCGGCTGGCGTGGCAGACTGTTGTGACACAGCGGATCTGCCGCCGCCGATGCCTCCAGCTGTAGCTGCTGGCCCCACAGTGCCGCTGCTCGGGCGCGATTGTGCACGGCTCGCTGTTGGTACGGGCACAGAACCGACGCCGGCAACTCCAACAGGGGCTGTTGATGATGTGGCACTTGTCGCTGGCGTCGTCGTTGTTGTCGTTGTCGGCGGTGGCGATCGCGTGTACTCCGTTGCGGCTCCGGCAGTTGACTGATACTGTGGCTGGTTGTTTGCGTTGGCTGCATCTGGCGAGGCATCATACTGATATCCGGACTGCGCATAGTCGCCGGCACTGTAGTCGTAGCCGGCGTTGGCATCGTAGCCATACTGCTGATCATCGTATGGCTGCTGGGCATAGGCGCTGGCATCATAGCCACTGACATCATATTGCTGTTGATCGTAGGCGCTGTAGTCTGTGTTGTAGGCAGCGAGATTGGCGCTGTCGGCATTGGAGACGCTGGCATCTCCAAGTGGTTGCTGTTGCAGTTGCTCTGGCTCGGCATTGCTGTACCGCCGGTTGAGCTGCGCCTGCTGCTGTTCCGTTTGCTCGCGTTCCCGTTCTCGCTTTTCGCGTTGCTCGCGCAGCTGTTGCAGCTCCCGATCTCGCTCCTCGCGTTCGCGCTGTCGCTCGCGTTGTTGCTCCACTTCTTGTTGTTGCTGTTGATGTTGCTGCTGCTGTTGCTGCTGCTTTTCGCCCATGCCAAGGTTGTCCTTGAGATTTTCGTCATCGTTATCGTTGAGTCCATAACTGCGGCTGCTGTCGGGCAGTAGGCTGGCGCTACCATTGCTGTTGCTGCTTCTGCGTGCTGTTGCAGCTGCGCCAGCAGCTGCGTTGCTGTCGGCAACTGTTGCTGCTGCTGCTGTTGCTGTTGCTGCTGATGCTGCTGTTGCCGCTGATGCATCGTAGCCATAGGCACTTGCACTCGGCTTGCTGTAGTCGCGGTCAGCGTTGTTGTTGTGTAGTTGTGGGGTGCTTTGCATAGGTTCAATTGTTGTGCCATATGTGGACGGCTCGTAGTCGTACGCGGCTGCAGTCACAGAAATTTTGGTTAGTGGTTGGCAAGCCAATTGAATGGAAGAATCTAGTCTAGATGCTGTGTGAGTAGACTCTAGTATATGAATGTTAACATTCTCTGGCAGCCAGAGTCTGCCTAGGCCCAGGCAGACTTATACGACTTATGATCGGACTATGTGTGTTGTATGCGTGTGCTAATGGGTAGCTCTAAGAAGCTCGAAGTAGTTCAAGATTTACCTTTGCCTGCGCCTAAGCTAGTATAATCATGTGGTGTGGTATCTAATTTACTCATATGCTCTTCATTGCTTAACATGCGATTTGACAAATACTCTAGATTCGATTGTAAAGCAGATATTTCCTCTCTATAGCGATAGATCGAGAGTTACGCAGAATGTAGCATTGAAAGGTAGTAGAGAAATAGAAAAAAAGATAAAAGAGAGAGACAGAGAGAGAGAGAGAGAGAGAGAGAGAGAGAGAGAGAAAGGGCTTGTTAGTCAAATACATATTCTTCATTGACAATTACCTGTAGGATCTCTGTTGGGTGCATTTTTGGTGAACAACTGCGTTCATCATTGGGTGTTGGCTCTTCGGAACTAAGCTCGTTAATGCTATTGTGAACTAATTGTGACTTATATTTCGTCCAAATTTGCCTGAGACGCGCCATTAGCTGCTCATTGGTAGCGCGTAGTTGTAGCTTCTCTTGGCTGATAAAATTGAGACAGGAAGTTTACAAATGAGCACAAAATACTAGACTAAATAATTCAAATTGTGTTTTATGACAATCAAATCTTAAGACCAATATAAAATGCATTTTAAAAAATTTCAATTTCTCGATCCTTTGAATTGTAAAAAAATAGTTAATGACTGAATATTTATAAATGGTAAATCATTTTCAGTACAGGGTACAACTTGCACCAAAATGTAGAAACATTCTAGGATCTAGAAAAAGGTAATTAACATTATGTTAATGAATATAGACATTTTTTATGTTTTCTCTTGAGAAACATTATTTAAAAAAAAAAAAACATTTAAAAATAAAAAGCTACTGTGCTCTTAAATAAATAATCTGTTATTTCCTAAAAGATCGATGAACGTATTTCGGGGCAGCATATTTTATAACTATTTACAAGATCTTTTGAAAATGAAAGTGAGCACAATCTAATGGTAAACAAAATATTTGTATGCCTCCGTTTTCACATATTTTTCACACTTTTGTGTGGATTTTCCCCAAAACAGCCTGGGCTTGCTATGATATCACATACTCATAACTGCAGTAAATTGAGCTGCAGAGCTTTAAGTTTGGGCTGCGTCAATCGGTCAGCCAAGACAAACAGTTTTATCAGAAACTTGTTCAATTTTTAGTGTTTTTCTGATGGTAAACATTAATGTGTCTTTATCGAGTAAATACATTAGTATGCCATAAGTTATACATGTCTTAAGGTAACTGGAATTTAGCTTTCAAAAAAATACGAAAAACAGTCCGAAATTTCTAATGACTGTGTATCTTCGAAGCAGATCTGTTGAATAATATAAGATAGGTTTGAGATCGAAATAATAATCTAAGAAAGAGTGTGTAGCACATCTGTATACGAAAATATCATACATTGCGACTACCTTGGTGTCTTTAGCTATGAAAATTGAAAACTAATTGTGGGATAAGTTCTTCAAAATGAGATTTAGAGGTTGGTATTGTTTAGGTATATTAACATTATCAAAGTTTGGTGGCTTGCTCCTGTTCCTGATCCTTATCATCATCAGCATCATCAAGGGCATCCTCAAATTGAGCGAGTTGCTCATCAATTTTCGCCAATTCTGGTGCGCTGTCCTTCACAAAAGTCTCGTTTAGGGCTTGTGCAACTGCGTCCAGCTCTTTGACAAATGTTTCGTTCAGTGCATTAACTTTTGGCTTTGACTGTTTCGACGTTTTGGGCACCAGACGCACATTGACATCTACTTTGACTGGTGGGCGTGGCTTCTTGTGACAGCCATCGCGCTGCAACAGTTGCTCAAAATACAGCTGAGGCTTGATGCTGGCACTCAGTGCGTTGCTGTTGGGCCCCTTGCATGTTGCTGCCGTTGCTGTTGTTGTTGCCGTTGCTGTTGTCTCAGCGTCCACCGTCAAATGCGACGTTTGACATGGGGGCTGACAGCGATTGGCACTGCTGATGGTCTGATTCAAAACCAGGTGCTGTTGCAGCCAGGGCAACAGTTCCGTTTTGCATGGATGGCAGCAGTTTGCTGTTGTTGCTGGCGCGATTGTTGTCGCGGTTGTTGATGTTGGTGCAGTGCGATATTGTTGTTGTGGTTGTGTGTCTAGGGTGAATTCATGCGAGTGACAATGTATGCTTTTGCTGTGCGTGGTTTGTGTACGCGCTGCTACAGCTTGCTTTCCGCTGCGACTGCAACTGTTGCTGCTGTTGTTGTTGATATTGCTGTTGCTGTTGCAGTTGTTGCAGCATGCAGCACTAAAATCGCTGGTATTGCTACTGCTGCTGCAGCGCTTACGCACTATTGGCTTCGCATAAACGTGCTCATGCTCGTGCTTGTGACGCATAAAACTGGGGCAAAAACATTTCGGCTTGGAAGCCATTGCTGTTGCTGATGTTGTTGTTGTTGCTGCTGTTGATGCTGCTGCTGTAGTCTCTGTTTTGCTGCTATTGCTATGCACTCTGTGCTTCTTATAGCTTGTGAATTTTGGCAATGGCGGCATCTTGGCCAATTCCTCGGCCAAACGCTCATTGCTCTTGATTATGTTTCTGAGTATCTCATCACCGTGGACAACATCAGCAACATCAGCAGCAACAGCGACGTGCCCAGCCAGGGGCTTGCTGTTATTTAGAATTTCCATTTCAGGTGGCAAAGTGGACGCGCTTTCGCTTGCGTTTGCTGCTGCCGCTGCTGCTGTGGCTATTATTGTTGCTGCTGCAGTTGTTGCTATAGGTGCGCTTATTGCCGTTGTTGTTGGGGCTGCTGCTGTTGTTGTTGTTGTTGTTATTGTTGGCATCGCATAATCGCACACTGATTCTTAATTTTACAATTGGCACAGGCAGCACAAAAGAGGTTTGAAGAAGTACAGCGTGTTAATCCAGTGTCAAGCTCGAGTATTTGTTGTATGTGGTTTACGGATTAATATATCTCAAAACAAAATAAAATGCACTGCGTGCTTACAATACTTAATTGGCTGGCCATGAATTTCATATTGGGTTGTGTTTAATTTTCGGATATGCTGAATAATATAATTGTAAAATGCATAGGTGAGACTACTTTTGCTTCAATCTGAAATTATTTGCTTCAACTTCCATTTCGAACTAAAAATTCAAAACAATTTGCCGTGAGAGTCAAGTTACTTGGGGATGGTTCTCAAAGTATGGTTAGGATTGCACAAAATATTGCAGTTCGTGCCAGAAAATTTGTTGAAACAGTTGATAAAACATATATAATAATTACTTGTGCTTATAAGTTGTATCCTCTAATTTGCCGGTTAACGTTTTACACTCGTTCGTCAGTTTATCCATGAGTTGCTTCTGAGAGTTTATCATTTCTTCGAGCTCATTTACCGTTTCCGCTACAAAAAGTAGACAGACAGACATATTGTTGTGAGTTATTAGTGGATCAGGTGCGAGAGTATACTAACTATATAATATCATTATGGGATAGGCAACGCGCTACAACACAAACTCATGGATAAACTATTGACGTTTTATTTTTGATCAAATTAGATAAGTTTCAATGGAATTCGCTTAGAGTCACGTAGTTACAGAATATTCACGCACACAATATGAAAATCAATAGCTCAACCAGAGTTTACAGAAAATGATAGATTAGAAAGAGTAAGTAGTGCTTGAGAAAAGTTGAAGAACTATCAAATAGTAATAGTTATTTGGTAAAGTGCTTATTTTTAATGAAATACTGAATTTAACTGTCACATACCATGCTTATCCTGCATCTCTGAAATGCGTTTATCCAAATCTTTTTTGGTGGGTCGTATCTCGTTCTTCAGCTCACCGTAAGCCAGCTGCAAATTTGATTTCAATATTTGTTTACCAAACGGTTAATACTGGAGCCCTGCGTCGGTGAATTCATTTGGTTGGATGAGAATCCAATCGATTGAGAATCGATTTAACCGAAAACCGGCAGGCTCGAGCTTCCGATTATCGAACTAAGCAGTGTTTGAATAAACGACTCACCAACCCCGACGGCATTCATGCAAACGAAGTTCGATCTGGTCGAGTCAGCAACATGTTCGAGCTAACGGTAATTTAATCGTGGCTGGAATGCAACCTAAAAAGTCTTCCTCGATCAGGTTTATTTTCGATTTACCCGAGTTTTTGACCGACTCAATTCATTGTAAGTCGACCACGTGGAACTGCATTAATTTAAGTTTTGACTCGCTCGATCGAAATAATTCTTCAAGTATCCGAAACGCATTTCGTTTGACTCGATGCAGGGCTCCAGTTAATACTACTAAATACCTCCTTCTCCAGATTTGCAATGTCATCGTTAAGGCGTAAGACCTCGCGCTTCGAGTGCAGCAGATCCGCATCGCCACGATCCAGACGTTGGCGCAGCGAATTGATCTCCGCCGTAAGCCGAGACGCCTCCGTCTTGGTCTCCCGTGCAGCACGGTCTAGCTGTAGGCGCAGCGCGGTAATCTCCTGCTCGAGCGATTGCTTCTCCGCATTGGCCTGAGCCATGTCTGCCAGGAAAGTAGTACGATTGGCGCGCAATTCCATCTTCAACTCGTCTATTTGCGAATTTCGATTGGCCACATCGCGTTTGAGATCCGTTTCGTAGCGCTTTTGCCGCTCCAGCTCCAGCTGCAGTTTGGCCACCTGCTCCCACTGGCTGCTCAGGTCACCGCCCAGCTGATCCACTTGGCTGTTGTAGCGGCGCTCCGCATTCGCTCGCTCATCGGCCAAGCGTCGTGCCATCTCATGTTGCAGTTCTCGGACGCGCTCGTGCTGCCTGTCAAGCTCATCCCTAAGATGGCGTACCTCCAGCTGCAGAAGTCAAGAAACATGTCAAACACACTGTACAGGAGTCTATATACCAAGTTGGGTGTGTCGAGCTTTTAAAATATTCGAGGTATGCTAAAAAAATCATGTCTCATTATCAATATTTATCGATGTCATGAGTTAGGATGAGGATGATACGAAAATATTTGTTTCAAATTCCAATTCTATTGCTTTAGTAGTTTCCAAGATAGACAGGTGACTATCGATGCTGATTAAGTAAATAAATGAGTTTTGATGCCACTTACCTCAGCCTGAGAGCGCTCCATTTGCACCAGGTCAGTTATATATCGCTTGGAGCTAGCGCTGTTGTGTTGCTGTGACTTGGCCTCATCCAACAGGCGCTGTAACTGGCGCACAGATTCCTCCAGGTTTGTTTTATCCTGCTGCAGCAGCTCCAGCTGCTTGCGATGCGTCTCACAGTTGACGCTGCCCAAGGTGGCCACAGCACTGAGGGGATCCGTGTGGGCCAGCTTGCGCTTCAGTTCCTCATTCTCGGCCCGGACGCGTTTCAGATCAATGTTGGCCTGCATCAGCTCCGCCTCCAGTTCGCTGATGCGTGCCTCGTAGACAATGTTCGGCGCACTGGCGTAGCGCGGAGATGGCACCTTCGGGTTGCTCTTGCGTGGCGTGCCTGGTGTCTTGCGGCCGGCCGCAAAGAGCAGATGCTCATCGCTATCCGAGGAGGGGGTGCTTGTAGTGGGGATCTGTGGAAGCTTGGATGTGCCACTGCCCAGTGCAGCCAGCTCGCTGCGCGCATTCTCCGTGAGATGCTCATTCTCGTTGATCACATCCTTCACCTTACCCAGCAAATTTGTCAGCTCGTTGCGACAGTACTTAGACTCCTTCTCCAGCTGTTCAATGTAATCCTCCTGCTTCTCAATAAAATTGAAGATCTCGACTGGCGCTTGAACGCTATCCGTGGGCAGAGTAGGCGCTGGCACATTGCTTGGATACAGAACCGGTGTCGTGGCTAGATTCTCCTTGGAAGCGGAGAGATAGCCAGAGCCATAGCTCTTCTTGGGACGATAGGTGCTGATGCGCGTCTTCTGGCTGGGCGACAAATACTTGGAAATGTCCGAGAAAACGGGTCGCTCAATGACCTGAATGAATGAAGCAAACAATATCTGGTGGGTAATATTAAATTGCATTTGCTAAACCCACCGACAAATTGTCCGAGAAATTATCGCCTGAGTCCTCGTTGAAGTTGCGCAAATAGGCCGCCGCACTACCGACCATTTTGGGCGTGGCCGCATAGGAGCTATCGGCCAACATTACCTTTAGGCGACCCACCGCCTCGTTATAAGCATAGTTTGTATAATCCATCGTTTTGCTCTTCTTGCTGATGCCCTTCGAGGACTTCATCGAGAAATTTCTAAAGGTAAGAAAACAGAAACAACGCGACTCTTGAGCGATTTACATCTAGACTAAATCACATTTTTTGTATTTCTAGTAAGTAAAAAATGTATCCCTATAAAAGCGCGTAGTGCGCGAGTCGGCCGAGAACTGAGCCTCGAGACCTGAGGCTGCCCATTTTCATTGGGGTGACAAATGCTGCACTTGTGCCACGGGCCTCGAACGGTTGCCAGGACGACGAGTTGGCCAAAATACAAATGTGTTCAGTCCTTTAACCCTGCCAGGTATATACACACACACATGCATACGCTTTTGACCATGTGTGCACGCGTCACGGTTCACTGGACACGCCTAGTTCTTTTTTTCTTGCCATTGCAGAGCGTACCAGCATTTTTTTTAGAAAATAACTAACACATTTGAAACCAAAAATCCCTGACTTTAAAGATATATGAACTATTCCTAACTGATCCTTAAACTGTCCGTTGTTCGGCTCACTGTTCGGATTAATGCTTGTAGGTTTAATGCTTTTGCCTGGTTTTTCACATCCATGAACATATGTAGGTTTTGGTTCATATATTTCCTAAAAATTCTGACGGCATTTTCATTTGTAATTTACAATTCTCCGTATGCCTGAAAATATTGCAAGCCGTACCGCATCAGTCTGAACTACAAGTTTATTATGAGTTTGGGCTGGTCTTCTTCTAATCCTCTAAAAATGTTCGACAGGCTCAAAATATCCTGTTTCTATCTAAATTATAGGCTTGGGGGTATGCAATATTCGATCCCTTAAAGTTTTATGAGCTCACTATTTTCATGGGTAGGTTTATAGAAGGGGGTTATACCATTAGATCCGTATAAACCTTTGATAAGTTTTGGATGGATATATTTTCTATAGCATTTTAGACTCAAGTCATAGAAGAACTATTCGAATAGGACCAGAACAAAGAACAGTCCTCGCTAGATGAGTTGTCGAATTAACTTAGTAATACAGAGAACTGCAATACGTGGATCCGTGTCGGAAATAAACGGAAGCGTTGGTCTGTTCCACGTATTAAGTCTCAATCTCTTATAGTCTTGAGATAAACTCATTCATTTCAATGAAAACAGGGGTATAAATAACAAGAAACGGAACAAAATCCAAATGTATGTAACAGGGAAGGAAGCATCTCCGACCCCATAAAGTATATATATTCTTGATCAGCACCAATAGCCGTGTCGATCTAGCCATGTCCGTCTGAAGAACCTATAAGAGCTAGAGACTTGAAATTTCAGATGTAGATGCTCCTAGCTCCCGCGCAGATCGAGTTTGTTTCCGATAATCGATAGCTTACTCCGTTTCCAAGCAATCGATAAAAATCGATTTCAATATCCTGTTTTTTGGGCAATTTTGGTAAATTATAAGAGCTAGAGTCACCAAACTTGACATATAGCTTCTAAAATAGAATATATATATGCATTTGATGTTGGAAGAAGAGGGTTCATTGTATCCCCTAGTCGGAAGCTCCAGACTAGAACCTCTTACTTGTTATATTTAATATAATTCCAAATGTCTAAGAACTTGGATTTTTGCTGATATATATTTCATCAATTGATATTTGAATGCTACTTAAAATAAAAAAAAATCACACACATCAGATAAACTGATGAACACATAATCAAAAAGTGAATATTGCTGGTGCTCCTACCTCGATCGCCTCTTGATCCGACCACCGGCGCTGCTCAAGCTGCAGATGCTCTCCCTATCGGAATAGCCGGAACCGCGGTTCTGCGACAGATTACGCAAGTTCTCGTTTGTCAACGAAGATGTGAAGTTTTTCAGATTGCTGTTGCCGACACTCTGCGGTTGGACTTCTGAATGAGCGCGAGTACTTTTCAAGTTGTACAAAGGAGCGCCGTACTTGAGGAAATTTTCAGTTTTCATTTTACACACAAATGGCGAGGCCAACCATGGGGGGCACAAAGAAATCCAATAACAACAAAAACTGGGTCTTGAGCGGGTCGGGGCAAGTTTTAAAACTTTGCTGCAATTTGTTTTGCAATTTGACTGGCATGCAATGGATAAGTGTAAGGGAGGAAGGCACTTGTGGTATGCACTTCCTTCCGCTTGGCGGTTATGCTTTAATTGTTTCTTTGAGCAGGCGTCAGGATGCGGTTAAGGAGCGAACGCGACGAACCACGATAGGAAGACAGGACGACAAGACGACAGGACGTTGAAACCCGTTGAAGTTAAACTGAAACGAACGCACTCAGAGGTCAAAGCTTTTATAGACTCGGTATTGCAACACAATCCCCGGACTTGACATAGGTAGGCAGGCAACGGCCCCCGAACTATGTTTATGTATATATAGTTTAGTGTGCTTTTAATGTGTTTGGTGCCATGGCGTTCCCAGGTAGAAATTCCACAGCATAATGTTAACATTTGTGCAAATGCAATGGCTTGCAGTGGCGGAACGCCCAAGGGGCCATGGGGCACCAATCCCAAGCGACCTTTGTGGCAGACGCCGCTGCTCGACAATTTCGCGGTGCGTCTGTTTGATCGATAGCTGAAATGGAAATGGACGTTTGTCGCCACCAAAATGTATTGAAAGCACGCTCAGACATTTGTGCCAATATTTGGATGTATCATCGCTATCCTCAAGCCCTGCCCCGGTTGTTCAACTCGCCCGAAACGGGGCCAAACAACATTTCTAGCCCCACCAAGAAGTGTGTTTTGGTCGGGACTGCCCTTCCAACAGATACCCTAAGCCCAGCGAGGAATTGCAGTTAGAAGCAAGCGAACCTTCTTCTTTTTATACCCTTGCAGAGGGTATTATAATTTTGTCGTGAAATGTGTAACGCATAGAAGAAGACATCTCCGACCCCATAAAGTGTATATAGCCGAGTCGATATAGCCATGTCCGTCTGTCCGTCTGCCCGTCTCTCCGTCTGTCTGTTTCTTTGCGAACTAGTCTCTCAGTTTTAAAGCTATCTTAACGAAATTTCGCGAAAGTCCCTTTTTCTGTTGCACGCAGCACATATGTCAAAACCAGCTGGGTCGGACCACTATATCATATAGCTGCCATAGGAACGATCGGTCAAAAAACAGGTTTTTTAGATTAAAAACCTTTTTTGGTTACCAAGATATCTTGACCAAACTCGGCGTTTACTATTTTCCCTGTGCTTCTTAGATACGGGCAAAGCACTATGAGCATTATGACAAGGTTGGATCTGCAAGGGTATTAGATATTCGGCGTGCCGAAGATAGCCCTTCTTTCGCGTTATCGTTTAAATAGGGCGAATGAGCAGAGGTAAATTTAGAATAATAAGACAAAAGTAGGCTGTTTTTTTTTTGCTGTGCTTCTCCTTCCCATAGTCTTAGACTATGGGAACTGGGGGAACGCGAGAAAGTATTCAAAAAGATATATGTATATATAGAGCGCATGCCAAATGTAGGGGTTCCAGCACAAACTGATTTCGAGTTATCGATTAAATACGTTTTTAAAGTCTCTCTAACAGTCACACAATCAGACAGACGGGCATGGCTAGATCGAGTCAGTTCGTTGTCCTATTAAGAATATATATGCCTCCTTCAGTCTGTTACAAACATTTGCTAAGAACCCATATACCCTATTTACCCAATGCGTTCACAATGCATACACAAATAAAGCAAAAAAGAGCAGTGCATATTTTTAGGGTTTCTGCAAGTGGCTTATAAATACGCGCGAGTTGCCATTGACACTAGCACTTGCCCCTTTCATTGTCTAATCAAAATATTGACAAGCTATCCAAAAATCAGTTGATAAACGCTCACAAGTTAGTGCCTTCAACTAGATTAAAGTTAATGTTTATGTCATTAAGTCCGAACAAGGCCAAATGGTTAGACCGTTTTCCTTAATTATTATTATCATTAATTTTAATATTACTTTTATTTATATATGATTATTCATTTAATTTTATTATTATTATATTATATATACCTAATTAATTTAGAAGCTAAAATTGCGTAAAAAAAATCGTATAAATTGCGAGAGGCCAATTAAGTATTTAAACAATATTTTGGAATATCCATTTTTCTATTCATTCAATTAGAATAATATGTTTATTATATTTATTTTTAATTATTATAAAAGAGTATTTAGTTAAAATGAGATGAACCCAAGTGGTATTGAGTCTTAAAAAGACGTTCGCTCTGTACTAATTTGTGGCGCGGTGAGCACAATAACCACAGATGCACAGGCACATGTGGAAGCGCTCGGGCTGCCAACAATTGATCTAGAGATCGCAACAGTAACTTATGGGCAAATCCTAGACATTTAATAGCTCAAATAACTCAGGCTGAGAGAGTGCCAGCTACCAGGAGGCCAACTGTGGCCAGGCCGGAGTCGGGCCCAGCGCGCGCGCAATCAATCAATGCAATCTGTGTTATCATGAATAATTTCCTAGAGGGCATATTTGGGGCTGTAATTGTGAGTATGAGTCCGGAGCGGAGGAACCCTTTTGCTGTTGCCCGACTACGCTTGTGTTGGTTGCATCATTATCAGCTTCTTGCGATTTAATTACCACAAGACAACAATGCAAGGCCTAGAAAAAAAATATATTAACCCTCTAAGATAAACGCATCATTCCGTATTCCCGTCCCGATGTGAATATCTGCAACACAATTCATAAACATAAACAGTGACTCGCGCATATACGTGTGCGAGTGTGTGTGTTTGTGCGAGTGTGTGTGTGGCTGTAAGTGTTATCGATCGTGGTCAATGTTGTTGGCAACAGCAAATGGCCCGGACTCAAGACCTGGTCAGATCCAGGCCCAGTCCAAGTCCAAGTGGAAGCCCTCGGGGCGCTCTCAGCAATTTTCATTGCTGCCGCTGCCGTTGCTGCCGCTGCTGCTGCTGCTGCTGCTGCTGCCGTTGTCGTGGCCATGGCTCTGGCTCTGGCTCTGGCTCTGGCTCTGGCTCTGGCTCTGGCTCTGGCTCGGCAGTGTCTGTGTCTGTGTCTGTAGCTTTGTATGTTGTGCTCTGATCGTTGTCGCGATCTGCTGCCTTCGCGGACTCTGGCTGTGAGTTGCTCTGATTCTGCGTCCAAGCCAAGCCAACAACGTCGACGTCGTCGTTGCTGCAACTATTTACAACACTGCATTCCTGCGCCGCAGTCATTCAAGAAGCCAAAGCCGATGTCAGAGCCAGAGTCAGAGCCAGAGCCGTGGTATGAACTTGTTTTATGCCACTTTAGCTTATGTGTGTGTGTGTGTGTGTGTGTGTGTGTGTGCGGTTGAGCGCGCGCTCCTTCAACAAATGCTGCCCAAGCTGCCTGCCTTATAAATGCTGTAATAAGCCCACAACAACAACCTCGACAACAACAAAAGTAACAACAACATCATCGAATGTGCGCTCGAAACATGTTTATGAAAAGAAAGAAATTCCATTGCAAACAAAAGAGGCAAAGCGAGCGACTGATCGGTGGGAGAGGCGTTTACTGCGCATGCTCGCATGTAATCCAACTCGCAGAGCACACACACACAAGCACACACAGACACATTTACATATCGATTTGTGCTCTCTTTTCCAACTGTTGCCATTCCATTGTATTTGTTGGCAATGAGCACTATAACAATTTTTATACCTATCTTTTTACACACACGTATATGATCAGCTCTGTTATTCTCTTCTGCCCACTTGGTCTCTGTCTCTCTCGCTCACTTTCGAATAACTGATTCTCTTTGATGACAGCCTGTGGGGATATTTATTATTGCCATGGTGAACTGAGTGGCCACCTCAAACGGGTGACCACTGCAAAAGTAGCACACAATTTTCACCAGGCGATCCCAGTCGAGGGAGCAGCATCTATGGGAAATATCTGACTTACTGAAAGCATAAGAAAAATAATAATATACCTTTTAATGTTGCCCAGACAAAAAAAGAAAAACAATTCTGTAGTAAGATGTCCCCAAATAAAAGTCGATTAATTATTTCTTTATTTATTGGTATTAACTAATAATATACAATTGTCTAATGAATTAAACTAGCAATAGTAAAACATTAACTGAACCGGCGTTCTGTCGCGTCTCAGAAAAGGTAAAAAATTTCAAATCATATTCATTCATAAATCATTAGGCACCAAGATGCATACTTCTGCCCATTTTTGCCTTGATAGGTCGTATTATTCAAGAGGTAGGAATGGGAATAACTCGCAATTCAAGAGGTAGGAATATTGCTATGCCAGTAAAGTTCTGTTAAACTTCCAGGAGAGAGTACAGCTGTTAAATTTTTGCATCTTAACAGGGCAACGTTATCATATTTAAGAATAGTTGGTAAACTATTTAAAATAATTCCCAAGGATTAAGAAGAACCGGCAAACATAGGAACGAATAACCTTCTGATCAGAAGTGTTATACAGATTCACATTTAGAGCCCGTTGATTAACCTGTATAATTTATGTATATATGTACAAATGTGTACAATAAAATTCTCCTCCGCCTTACATACATACATGTATTTCACAAACAAATGAAATACATTGGATCTACAGATTAGAAATAGAATATTATTGTATTATGTTGGGATAATTGTTATTGAAACGAGAAAGAAACACCAAGGCGAAGAATAAATTCCTTTATATACTGCGAATTGCTTTATATATAGTGAATCTTTGAAGGACTGAGTGTGGTGAAGTAATAAAAACAAAAATATACTAAACAAATAAATTATTATTATGATTATAAAATTTTTCCTTTTGCCTACTTTAAATAACTAAATAAAAAGTAATTCTAGAGAAGTACGATATTTAGACTCTATTCACAATCTGCAAGAGTTGACTCAAAATAAACAAAGCTGTTTAATAAGAGAGTCAAGATAGTCTCTGGCAAACTACTGAAGACCTTTCCTAAAGATGAACATTTGCGGTCACACCCACAGCGCCCCACAAATTACAAAAAACGATTCA